TCTTCTTCTTCTATATCTTAAGGGCCCACGATCAATTTATTGATAATTTTGGCTCCTATGCATGTAGATGGGATTTGCAATGTTTCTGTTACTGGTGTTGATGAGGAAATCATGCAATAGGGCTTGAAGGCTTGAGGCAATAGACACAAATGTGTCTAGTGTTGTCGCCTCAACCGTTCCTTTTGAAAGATGGTTCCAGTCCCTGATTGTCTTGGGCAGGAATGAGTAGTTCCTATACTGGCTTCTTGCTGGTATGAGCCTGAATTGCCTGTCATGGCCTCGTCGCTGTCTATGGGGGAGAGGGACGAGTTTCTGTTTAATACTGGAACAGTGGACCAGCCCATTATTTATCTTGTAATCGTCGCTGTCTATGGGGGAGAGGGACGAGTTTCTGTTTAATACTGGAACAGTGGACCAGCCCATTATTTATCTTGTACATCATGGAGAGCCTGGATTGTCGTCGTCGTTTCTCCAATGGTGACAAGCCTAGTGTTTCTAGCATGCTGCCAACACTAGAGGTATTCCTGTAGCGGTTTAGGACAAAGCGTGCTGCTCGTCGCTGGACCGCCTCCAACCTGTCAATGCTCTTCTGGGTAAATGGGTCCCAAACTGAAGATGCATAATCTAAAATCGGACGGATAATATAGGCTTTATATGCTCTTTCTTTCAAACAGGAGTTGCCAATCTTTAGAGCAAGCATTGACGTCATCAACAGACCAGTCAGCAGATATATGTGGGCGAGAATTAGCAGATGAAATGGAATTTTTAAGGCATATTCTACCAAATACCGCCAAAACCCCGGTAGAAATTTTGGCTTATCTGATTATCTGTCCACTAATGACAGATACACTGCTTTACCAAACTACTTTGTTGCACTCAGACTAGTTTTAACAATACCCGTAACTGTGGCATCTGGTGAAAGAAGCTTCTCGCACCTCAAACTAATCAAGAATTACTTGAGGTCAACAATTCACAAAGATAGATTGAACAATTTGGCAATTCTTGCTATTGAGCGTGATCTATGTAGGAAACAGAATTTTGATTATATACTATATGAATTCGCTACACGCAAGGCTCGTAAAGTAACGTTAATTTGATCGCGATTTTGTACTTAGTAAAGAATGAATAAATGCAAAGACGAATTTATTTTCTAATAAAAAATCTTAATTTTCACTTATTATCCTTATCCCTACCCAGACTGGGCCCCGCGCATTCCGTTTCGCATAGGGCCCCGCAATTGCTAGGGCCGGGCCTGAAAGTGGTTATCAAAATAATGATCTTCATTAAGTCGAACAGGTTAAATCAGCATCAGTTCCAATAATTCAATAATTTTTAAAGTCTTTGGTCCCAAGATTATGACGTTACAGAATTTTTGACTCAAATTTTTAATGTCTCAGCCCATCATTTCCCCTCCATTTTGAAAATAATCTCTTGTATTTCTTTGGTCGATGCTGGTTAAATTTGAGCACATCCACCAGATGTCCTGACATTTTTGGGCTCCTATTTTCAGGGTAGAATCTTGGCAACTGGAGAAAATAAAATATAATCCTTTATCGTTTTAACCTAAAAATTATATGGTTACCTGGGGAAAACCCACATATAAATCACACAAAAAATGACATAATTTTTCTAACTTTTTAATTGCTTATCATAAATCAAAATTACAATGATTAATTCTCTAATCACTTGACAATGTCGAATACTAAAGGCATGTGTTTCTATATTAGATAAAAATATGTCACTAATTTAATACTACATAAACTAAATATACTGTGCAATTACCATATTGAAACCTAATTACCCCCCCCCCCTTTAAAAAAAAACTGAATGGTAGATCTAACTGAATACTGTACCAAAAATGCGACTTATAGTAATTATGGCAAAATAAATGGATCCAACCATGTATGCCTGTAAAAATGTTTTTATACGGCACCTCCATAGGCGCCCGCAGAAATTTTTTTAGTGTGTGTGGGGGGGGG